CCCAAGCCATTCCACTGATTGTTCTCTCAGAAAATTTCTTCTCTCCATGATTAGTTTCCACCCATTGCTTCTTGTCTTGCCTTTTGGTGCTTTGGAAAATAGTTTGACCTGCTCATCTTGTAGGAGTCTCTCAAATATTGGAACACTGCTATCATGTCACCCCTAGTCCTTCTTTTCATCAGACTATTTTTCCATTAGTGTCAATGTGTATGAGAGTTCATGACTTGGGAGAGACATGGCAACAAGATCAGCCAATGAATCAACACGGCAACTGGGTCAGCCAATGAGGGCTGTTTGGAAGCTGAAATAGTATTTGCTGTGAGCAATAAGGAGACAGCAAGGAGCCTGGGCGTGGCTTAGCTCAACTGTTCTGTACTAAAGTTCTGAGTCTGTGCTGAGCTCTAGTCTGCTGCTCTGAACTGAAACAGAAACTGTTCTCTCCTCTGCCTATGTTTTGCTTGTATTTTACTACCACATTGGAAAACCTGCTTTTGGTTTTGTATGTTTACTTATGGGTTATTATGTATATAAAGAAGTTAATGAATCCTGCTGAATCAGTTACCTGTGTGTGCTTTCTGGATGTGATTGCTGCAACAAATTCTGACTAGACAAACCCAATTCCTGTAACCGTTCATGTTTTAGCCTCCAGTCCCCTAATCATCTTGGTTGCATTTCTGTGCATTCTTTCTAGTCTCTCAACATCTTTTGTGCAGTACAGGATGCAGGATGCCAAGTGTGATCTTAGCAAAGCATTATAAAGCAATACGAACACTTCACTGATCTTGATTATATTCCTCTATTAATACTGGCTAGGATTGTTGGCTTTTTTGGCAGCTGCAGCTCAATCCTGGCTCATATTTAAGTGATTGTCTACCAGGACTCTAAGACCCCTCTTGCAGTTTTGAGCTAGGCACCACCTATTCTATATCTGTGCATTTGTTTTTTCTTGTCCAAATGTAAAATCTTATTTTTTTTTTCATCAAGTTTCATATCCAGCTTTTTACTGGACAACCTGACTTAACTCCAATGACACTTCCTGCCTTACAACCTCTTCCCAGCCAACTGCACTACAATCCTGGGTTTGGTAAGAGTCCTTAGAGGCCTCCTAGTCCATCCTATGGCCCAGGGCAGAAATCCTCAGTATCCCAGACAAATGGTTGTCCAACCTTTCCTTGGATGAAGCCTCCATGAGTCCAGGAGGAAGACTGTCCACTGAAGAACTCCCCTGGTCAGGAGATGCCTCCTTAGACTTAGGAACGGAACAATGTTTGATCATGGTTTGACCAAAAAGGGTGAGAAGGGGATCCAGCCACAAGCCCTTATGGCTGGGAGGGACTTGGGAGGCCCGTGACCCGTCAAAACCGCGGTCCACAAAAGCGCGCTCGACGAAAGCGCATACGTGACGTCATCACAGCGCGACGAAAAAAATAAGATTTTACATTTGGAC